CCCCGCCCGGCCGCCGCCACCGCATCCCCGGTGACGTCGCCGTCAGCGCCCGCGTCGCTGTCGTCGGTCGTTTCGGTGTCCGCTGGGGGCTCGGCGCACGGGGTGCCTGCGGGGGCGGCGGCCGGCAGGGCAGGAGTGGGCAGGAGCAGGGGCAGGGGGGTGCGCCCACCCGTCCATCCTGGGAAGATGCCACCCATCTGGCTTCCTCAATCCACCCAAGGGCGAATTCCTCCTGCTTTTCTTTCTTTCTTTCCAAGATGCCACCCTGGAGCACACTTTGCTCCCGGCGGCGCAGCAGCCGCAGCAGCCCGCCCGCCCGCCGCCCGCACCTTGCATGCCGCCGTCTGCGGGCGCGGCGCAGGTGGCGGCGGGCGGCGGCGCGGGCGGCGCGTGCAGCCGGGCCTGCGCCAGCAGCCGCGCCACCAGAGACTCCGCATCCACGGTGGCGTTGAGCAGGCCCTGAGAGGAGGGAGGGTGGCGGGCGAGCGGGAGGGAGCGGCAGGCGGACGGCAGAGGTCAGCAAACGCAGGTGGGTGGGTGGCAGGCACGGGCGGCCAGGCGGCAGGCAGGCCGGCAGGCAGGCCGCCGCCAGAGTGCATCCAAGGGCGCAGGCAACACAGCCGCCGCACACCGTGCAACACAGCCAGCACCCTCCCGCCCCACACAACAGGCGATGCACCATAGGAGACGACACACACACACCACCGCACCAAACCCCACCCCACGCCATCGCACCCCCCGCCCCGCCCCGCCGCACCTCCACCAGCTCTGGGTTCGCCTCCACCGCCGCCGCCTCGTTCTTCACGTACAGCCGGCACTGCAGCTTGCGGCGCGCGCACACCGCCTCCATGGTGGTCTTCAGCTGCTGGATGACTGCAGGCGGGGGGGGAGAGGGACGGGGAAGAAAGCGTGAAAAGAAAGTAGGAAAAGAAAGCGCCTGAAAAGAAAAGAAAGTAGGGGCCTGAAGGACTGGGGGTCGAGAGGGGCGGCAGGCGAAGCGCGCTGGGCGTGACCCTGCCGCCTGCCCCGCGGCGCATCCCCTCCCCGACTGCCCCGCCTGCCCCAGGCCCGCCGCTGCCCCCCGGCCACCCAGGCGCACCCTGCTTGCGGTTCTTGTCCCAGCGGCTGCGGATGTCCAGTGTGAAGTTGGCGTTGCTGCGGCGGGCAGGGCAGGAGCGGCGGTGTGGTGGTGGGTGGGTGGGTGGGCGGGCGGGTGAGGTGCGAGGAGGGGGCTCAGGGCAGGCGCAGGGCCGCCGG